CGGAAAACCGTAATATTTTTATGTCCTTTAGCAAATTAGAAAAAAGTTAGATATATAACTCTCTTAAATATAATAAGATAACGAATGCAATATTAATTATTATATAAATGTTTTTCAAAATATTTGCGCCATAGTGAAAAACAAAGATATTCTCATATTTATACTTAAAAACAAATTAAAATCTCATTACAATAACTCAGATTATTATAATACATACTTGCATTAGAGAAGAAAATAACAACTCTGAGCGGAATACCAAATAAAAATATGCCATTAAATACAATAAAATAAACGGACACTTGCTTTTTTTAATGTAAACTACTAAAATATATTAATGTTACAATTTCATTTGTGCACGAATATATGTATAATATAATCTATCAAGATTTTGATTTATTATTGCAAAATGATAATAAAGAAATACACCTCTTTCATTTAATGATACAAGAGATATTCAAATTTAAACATTGTTCTTCTTTCTTGAAGAAACTTTTTATTTAAAAAACTCAAAGATCTTAATTCAAAATATATAATATTTAGGAAGTATTACAGCAAAGCTTATACTTAAAATTGCCATTCGAATATAAACATTACATAAATAAATATATAATTAAATGTTATAAATATACTAATATACAAATAATTTTTTTAATATCATATATGTATAAGTCAGCAGAAACAAACTCGTTTATTTTTATGGCTAATAATAAATGAACTAGAAATAAGTAAAACGTACATTTTTATAAACCTATAAAAAATATCAATGTTACACATATTAAAATTCTTAGATAAAAATTGTAAAGTATATATAGATGATTTAAAAAGGCATTTTATTGTAAATTAGTTTCAAATGTATACTGAATTCTTACATACTTCGATGACTATTCGATGTAATATGATTATACTTGATTGTCTGATATTTTACTCATTTTTATTATATATATTTATATTATTATTTTTAACATTATTTTTTGACATTATTTTTAACATTATTATAATATATATATTTTTTTTCATTATAATATATATTATATTTAACGTTATTTTTTATAAATTTATTTAAAAATTTGTAACAAAAATAATATTTCCTTGAAAATAGAAAAATGACTAAATGTAATGCTATAGAGAAATGAAACAAATGAGAAATAAAACATTTGATATATTATATATATATATACAGGGTGGCTGAGAATAACCGCATAATATTTCATGAGTGGGTAGAACAGACTATACTGAGTCGAAAAGTCCTGTACCATTTTGCGATTGCAGTAATAATTAACGAGATATTAATTTATAAAAATATTTAAATTTGCCCGGCCCATCGTCAAATGCAAACGCGCGGCTGGATAGGACCGCTCTGCAAAGCGCGCCGCGTGCGTTTGCGTTCGCCGTCGCTAGGCATGCGACTCATGTCTAGCGACGACTATTGCCGCTTGTTATAAACAACGCTTGTTATAAACATGTGTGTGTATATATATATTATATATATATATATATATATATATATATATATACGTGTGTATATATACACGTAATATTTATAGTACAAAAGTTTCAATTAAATGTATAATCTATAGTTTGAAATAATCCCGAATTATAATATATATTCAAAGTCAATACCTTGTGTCACTCGTTTTTAAGGTCGTTCACCGGCTAATCGATTTCCATACAAAATGCTTCAAATTTAAACTATATGCTATTAATATCATTATCGATATATCCCCCAAATTCCAAAAAACATAGCCGTACTGAATTCGAGTTATTAATTTTCAAAGTTGCAGCTTTTAACATGTAAGGTAAAGCCCAAGCGTGCACTCAGGTGACATTTCAATTCATAGCGACTGTGATATCTATACAATTGTTCTAAAAAAGTAGGATATGATGCAGGACGATGCTAGAAATAACATAAAAAAGAACGGGGATTCGTAACACTTCGAAGAAAAAGTCGCCGCATGGAAGGACAGTCGCCGTTGAGACGCGGCAAAAAAAAGCAGAACAAGAAAAAAAAGAAAAAGTATTTGTACGGGAAGCGAAGTGGGAAGAGAGATATGCTGTGCACCGAGAAACGAAAAAAAATTAGATTTTTAGTATGGAAAACCGGATCGATCTGATAATATTATAGCTCTGTCTACTAAATTAATGATTATGCCTTTCTCTTGAGATAACGGATAATTTGAAAAAAAGTTAAGAAATTTATCTGAAAAAATGGGTTTTTGGTACCAATCAAAAATTAAGATATTCTCTTTAATGATCGAGGTATTAAGAAAATTTAAAGAATCTGTTCCGACCTTTTACGTAAATTGTAAACGCGTGGGTGAAAAGAATTAAAAACATTGAAAAAAGATTTAATCTCAGAACCTTCAATTGTCACACATAAATCGTTAATTTATCGGAAATAAAAAAGAACGTTGTCTTTGTATAACATCAAGGCAGATTATTTCTAGTCTTTGCACAGATAAGAGATATGTCAAAATAGTCTAGCTAGAGCAATAATGAAGGAAATTAAATGATCTTTCGAACAGAATCATTCGTTTTATGATCGGACTTTATTTACTCCTTATAGAAAACAAAAACTGCAAATAGGTCCGATTTAGACCACTCTCCCTTACCATTTGCGAGATATATTATAAAACAACTTTGACTAAATTTCTGATTAATTTAATTGGTAATTGATACAATCAGCAGAATAGTCCAAATTAAAGTTTTCTACGCTAAATTATATAATTTATTATTTCTAATCTAATTTTTATCTTTGTGTATACGCGCGAAACAATGAAAGATTAATTATTATATCTATACTAACAAATATAATAGAACAGGTACTGATTTATAAATTGTTTCCGATTATGCTTATTCGTTACACGTAACAATATGCAAGATGAAGACACTTGTTTAAGAAGACAGCTAAAAAAAAATGTATTGTTTGATCTAGCATTTATCCATATAATTATTCAGTATATCTGACAATGACCAATTATTTAGGATTAAATTTAGCCAGCCTTTTTTGATTAAAGTTGATTAGCTGAATACGAAATCGTGAAATTTCACGCGACCTTGAAGATTCGTTTAACCTCCGATTATCGCACAGTACGACCACGTTTCTGCATACCTATATATTTGTATAAGCGCAGCACGTTTGTTGCTCACAGTTTCGACTTACTCGCCGTACGTGACAGTTTCAGTAAAATTAAAACGCATAATTCACGTTTAAAAACCGAATAATTTATCGCTAAAAATATATTTTTCAATAATGACTAGTTTATGGTATTTTAATTAAATATATTGGTGAGTACATTAAAATATAAAACATGTTTAAAAAATGGATAAATAAGTAACAGAAACATAAAATTTGTGATGCAAATCCAATCAAGTTGTTGACATTTGTAATATAAATGTTGCTAATAATACTGTCTATAAATCTAAAATTTAATAAAAATTATAATTTTGCACTACACTTAAAAAGCCGAAGACCTGAAGATATATTATATAAAATTTTTACAAAAAAAATAAAATCTACAAAAACAATAAATCAAGAAAACAATTAGATATATTAAATGTGTGATTTAGTTTTGAAGATTTTTTCTCAAAAACTAACTTATTTAAACAAGATAATGAATGAATATCCAATTAAAATATTTTCATTTTTTGCAAAACCCTCAAAATTAAACCACACTCGCAATATAATACTTTACGTTAAATTTCAGTATGTTATACAAATTTTCGTGTATTTTATAAATTTAATATAATTATAAGGTTCTGTAAGTATAAAACAATACAGATATATAATAAGGGCAAAGAGCCAGTAATGTAAAAACGATTTTAATTCCAATAATCATAATATAAAAATTATATAAACAAAACAAACATACGTTTCGACTCCGATCGGATCATTTTCAATGTTACAAAAATTAATACAGAATCATTAAAATCTGAGTTAAAATTTTTATATTATTTATGAGTTAAAATTATTATAAAATTCAATAGTTATCTTAATGTGTGTGATAAATTAATTCACATTCTTCATTTTATGTTTCTGATCAATAAGGTAAAAAGGTAACGAAAAAGTAACATTCTTAATTGTCAATTATATGAGTAAAATGCTAAGCGTCCGTTAATCAAAACACAAAAAAATGGTATGTTATCTATTTAAAAGAATTAATTTTATGAAAAATTTATATTTCATAGACATTTTTTCTATTTTAAATTATAAAACTTGTATGTCACACTTTTATATACACTGCGCAACAAAATTAACGCAACACCTGTTTCAATATGCAAAAATAGGCAAATTTAAAGATAGAATAACTTTCAAAAATCATCTTATCGAGATGTTTAAAAAACATTTTACAGCTTGAAACCTCTACTTTTTAGATCACTACTTGAAAATGTGGTCTCACGGAGATTTTATGAAGTTACACAAACATAAATGAAGATATATCAGATCTCAACATTTTTTATGAAATTTGCGAAGTTAAAGGTAAAGATTCGCTCTTTTGAATGATGTAAGCTGCACAATTGTGTGCAATTTTTATTTCGTGCAGTGGAAATTCTCAAATTTCGTAAAAAATTTTTAGGTTTGACGCACTTTTATTTATGTTTATGTAACTTCACGAAATATCAGTAAAACCGTTTTTTCAAGTACTAGTCTGAAAAGTAAAGATTTTAAGCTTTAAAATACTTTTTTAAACATCTCAATACGATGATTTTTGACGAAGTTATTTTATCTTGAAGTTTGCGTGTAGCTACTGAACAAAATTAAAGTCACTTAAAATCAGCATTAAAAAGAACCAAATTCAAATTTCACATATCTCCGCGAAGAATGGTAGCGAAACAACGTACGCGAAAAAACTTTTTAAATCCATAACAAATTTCTTTAATTGTATAAGTAAAGTTTAACATTTTCTCTTTAAAATTTTTTATCATTATGCTACAATTTCTTTCACTGAGTGATTTGAAGTGAATAATGCATCATGTAACCTTTTCTCTGAAAATTTCTAAAAATGCTGCCGCCGGTATTAGCGGCATTATTCGAAATGTACCACGGGGAGGTTATACAGTCGTAGATTGATTTTAATTAAAATCTAATTGTGATGAGCAATGTCTTCTCTTAAATCATTATTAACCTAAAGAGAATTTATTTACTCGTTTTATTAAAAAATTTAGATTAAAATCACATTCAAATTTAAATATCTTTAGCTAGTTTTAATTAGCTAATCATAATTTTATTAGGATTCCTTTGAAATCATATATATTCATGTAGATATCATACTACGGTTGATTGCTATGTCTAGCACTAGCAATTTTCACAGATAGAATAGCCCTTCTTTTCTACCCTCTCCATCCTGATATTCAAATAATTACTGTCACTCAAATTCCTGTTCTGCACATTAAAACTTCCAAACCATGCATAATCAAACGATTAAGAAATATGAAATAAGAATCCAGTTTATCATAAAAAGTGTACATTTTTTAATTTAAAAATAGGTTACTTAAGTCAATCCTCTAATTATGATTTATTTTATTACAATACAATTACAAATGTAATATATTATTGAAATGTTTGTAAAAAAGAAACATTTAAGATTAATTAATAAATTCTTTAAAAAATTTGTAAAAAAAAACAAAAATAATAAGAATTTAGTAACATAATATATCAAAATTTTAATTAAAGGTTTTAATGGTATATTTTTATAATAAATTATTATGAACGTTTACTTCCTACAAAGTAAGCATTAGTCGAACAAATAACAAAAATTTATAATTACTTTTTTAACAATTTTGTAGTTTAATAGTAGTTTAATTAATAGATATTTGATTTAATTTTTAAAAATTAATAATTAAAATGATATTTATCTTTAATTAATTTTTTTGATATTCACGTTAAAAAAGAATTATCGTTAAACGATTAATGAATAATCTAATATTAAATATATTCGTAGTTTCCTCGCAACGCAAATGAAGACAGATGTCGCAAAATTTATACCTAATATTATAGTGATCGAGATTTGCGAGCTGTAATTTACAATTTCATAAGAATGGACATAAAACTTGTTTTGTTCACACTTATGCTTGCTGTAGTGTTATTGGAAGCGAAACTAAACCTCTGGGGAGATTCAGTATTCTCTCAGAAAGCAATATTCAACTATCTATTTTCGAAAGATCGCGGTGTAGTAAGAGTAAAGAAGCCAGAAGAAGTCAAAACTGCAAAAAACAATGTAACCACATTGGATTTTGTAAGTGCAAGATTGCCTTTTGTTTTATTAAATTCATACTCACAAAATAATATTATTAGTACAATTAGGATTTTAATTATTAAAATAAAATAAACCTTATGTATAAAAAACAATTTGCTGTATTAGCGAATAATAATTAAATAATAGCAATACAACTATCGAAGTACTTTTTCGAGCAATCCAAAATTTTAATAAAATTTTGTTTATGAAATAAGAAACTGCATTTCAAATTACAAAATATTTAAAAAAGATTTCAATATTATTAGAGGATTAATTATATTTACTAAACTGAATAAAAAAAGTAATTATAAATCATTAAAATACTATATTTACTTAAAAAATTAGTTTCTATAACAGAAACTACTTTTATTTTAATAATACAGATTAATTGCATGCAAATTTGAATAAAACACGTTTCTTTCGTATTAATAGATATTTTGTTAATTTACGTAAAGTATTACACGTAAAATTTTATGAAAGATTATTGAAAAGTCTTGAATCATATTTTAACATTTTTAATATCTACGTAGATTGGTTTAGTAGAGAAAAATGGTTACTCCGCCGAGGAACATTATACCATAACAGAAGATGGTTATATCTTGGTGCTACATAGATTATTGGGGAATCCTTTATTTAAAGATCAAAGAAGTAGAAAAGTTGTATTTCTTCAACATGGTCTCTTGTGTACATCTGATTGCTGGGTAATATTTGGTGCTGGCAAAGATCTTGGTGAGTGATTATTAATACATATTGTACACTAATCATTACTAAATATATTAATCGACTGATGACCATTTCTACCAATGAAGTTTAATTTCAATTTCGGCCCATCTAACTATTCATTTGTTTCTAGTTTTAAAAATTAGAACTTTTTCATTTTCTATTTATCCATAATCTGTGTGCAAAATCTTTCACAACACATGAAAAAGTTGTATTCTTACGGATACGAAAAATGAAATCATTATAAATATATACATTGCATAGAATGATGTAGAAATTAAAAGAATTACAAATATTATTATAACAACAAAATCCATAGAATTTTTAATATTTCAAGTCGCAGTTTTGGATATATGGTATGGAAAAACTACATGTTACAATTACATACACGCACGCGAGCGTATCCAGTTGAGAATAAAATTGAAGATTAATCGATACGTTCACCTTGACTTCACTTGACTTCAAGAATTTATAGTTGGAACAGTAGAACAACTCAGGTAGTGAAAGTTTTGGCGAATATTTATCTTAGGAAATCAGATCAAGAGCAAGGTAGAAACTTAGTAATATACAATTAAGGTTCAAGAAGCAAAAAATTTAGCAAATTTAATTAGATTAACTTTTATTTGAAATAGGGTAACTCCGGCAAAACGCCGTGCGAGGATACATGCTGCAGAAGTCAGAAAAAAAGAAAGAATGGGGATAATTTTCCGGCAACTATATATTCTGTTACATGTCTGTATGTTATATTAGTATTATATGTTATGATTTCAGGTTTTTGCAAAAAGTTCTTTTTTTAATACAAAAAATAAGTATTTTGGATTTCTAATATTTTTTTCGTAGTAATATACAGTACCAAGTTTTTACTAATACAGTTCGTTTACCTTAAACATAATGAGTAATACTTAATAAATTAAGTTTTTTTAGGTGCGGCGTATATGCCGGAGTTACCCTATTTTATAATGTTATCTGATAACATTTAATTACACGTTTTAACTAAATTTAAAAAATTAAATATGTTATATATTAATTATGCAGCAATAATAAAATTGTTTAAATAATTTAATTTCTAAAAAAGTTTGTATTATTCATAAAATTTATTATTACATACTTAATAGTAGTTCTATATTTATTACATTCAAAAAAGATTTTATTATAAGTCAATCTACTATTATTATCTCTATTTTATTTTTTTAATCTAAAAAACCATTTTCAAAAAACTTGTTAGAATAATAAAATATTGTAGATAACATCCTATATTTTAAAAGAATGGAAAATATTCACCATAGTAAATAAAAAATAGAACGTATCATCATGATAAATGTTTATTTTGATAAAGAGGAAGACAGTTACTATTTTTGTTAAAAATATTTGATTATTAATGATAATCTGATGATATAATAAGAGAACTAATTGTATATCATTATCTTGTGTTCTAGCATTTTTATTGGCTGATAAAGGATATGATGTATGGATTGGAAATAACAGGGGAAATGCATATTGCCAATCACATATAAAAATATCTCCACAAAATAAGGAATTTTGGCAATTTAGGTAAAACTTTATTTTGTAATTATTGAGTTTTTAAACTCAATTCGATTTTTTTCTTAACAAGAATATTGGGTAAATATATAGAATAGGGGAGCCCCCCCCCGATGATCTTGACCTTGACAACATATGTCAAGGTCAAGATCATCAGGGGGGGCTCCCCTATTCTATATATTTACCCAATATTGAAGCATATAATGTATCCATGCAGTTTTATAAATCTTTATATTTTTTTTACTAAGAAACTATACTGATTTTAATTATTATAAAAATAGTAGTTGATTAGATTTGCGTTTAAAGTCCGACGGATGTTCGGCGCGCAACGGGGAGGAACTACTTACGTAGTATATAATATTCACTCTTTAACATATCTTATACATATATAATCGCACTAATAACGGCGAATAGCTCTCATTAGCCGTTTTATTCTTGTTATTTGAAACTTTCGAGAGTCTTCTTTAATTGATTTGTTTATTATAAAAATTTTAGAAGAAATCTAGTTTGAATTAAATAACATAAGACAAAAAATATACATATAGTATAAGGATAAAAATGGTTACAGTAACAAAAAGTCGAAATATTTCTTTAAAAATTAATATTATATTTAATCCAAACTAGATTTATCCTAAAATTTCTAATTAAAATCAATTTTTTAAATAAAAAAGGTCGAGACACTTGTAATACTGTAATACGTTACTGTGTATGGATACATTACATGTACATTATATAGCAAAATTCTCATAAAAAAAAATCGACTTTGATGTGTGTTAATTAATTGTAAAAAATCAATTCTAATTTATGTTAAAAAATTAATAACAAATGTTTAGTAGTAAGATTAAAAAATAATAAAGGAAACAATAAAATTTTATTTCATTGTCCAGCTATCATGAAATAGCAATGAGAGACCTACCAGCTATGATAGACTTCATACTTAGATACACAAAACAAAAAAATCTGCACTACATCGGTCATTCAATGGGAACTACCATACTGTTCACTTTATTATCCATGAAACCCGAATATAATGCAAAAATAAGACTGGGAATCTGCCTTGCTCCGGTTGCCATCTGGAAAGAAATATCTCCTCTTTTGGAACACTTTCGTAGTAAAATGCCAAAGATTATGGTAATGAGATATCAAAATCGTATTTAAAAAAAAACTATATAATATTGTAAGATATACCAATTTTACATATATAAATTATAAAATTTACTTTATCTTAACAATTAGAAGAATAATTTATATTAGCAATATTACTTTATTACTACATTTATTATAAATGTCATAAATAATTGAGTCGATATAACATTATATTATATAAGTCTTTTATTTTAAAAGATTTTTTAGTAAATATTTAGTATAATATATTTTCATGAATTTTTCTTGTAAATATTGTAAATAATTTTATAATATTAAAAACAGTTTTAATTGTTCAATAAAGTGGCTATAAAGCTGGTTAAAGTTTGAAACGTTATTTAAAAGTTATTCTGTGCAAAAGTAGAAAGAGAAACGAGATAATTGTCTCTTTAAAAAATTGTTCTAGAAATATCTCAAACTTTAACTAACTATATTATATAATATATATGTATAAAGCAATTACAATTACACGTTTATATTTTTTATATTTACGTTTACTCGTTTATTAGGAATTTCTCGAGTCTAATGGAATGTACGAAATAGCCTCCTTATCATCAACGAGTATTAGGATTGGAAGAACTCTGTGTACAGATAAAGCAATTACTCAGCCTATCTGCGCTGCAGTAATATTTGTAATCGCCGGATCCGATCCAGTGCAACTTAATACTGTATGTTATACATTTTCAATTTTGAAGATTTTGCTAATTGCAATACTGTTTTTACATCTTATAATAAAAATTATAAAATAGAGTGTTTATATTCTAATGTACATACAACAAATCAAAATTGTTTTTAATTAAATCATTTATTGCAGACGGCAATGCCAGAAGTATTTTCGTATGCTCCGGCCGGTATTTCATTACAAACAATACGACATTTTTATCAAAATATTATTACTCGTGAGTATTTCTTTCCTTTTCACACATATATAATAATATAAACTATCATGTTAATTATAAAGAAAGAAAGAAATTTGATTGCGTTAAAACGTAATTACAATATTATGAGAGTTTTTATCTTTGTATTATCTTTATTAATAATATAAATAAAAGTTTAAATAGTAATTCTTTTAAGTAGTTTTTTAGTTTTTTTACAATTACAGGATATTTTGTGTTTATTTAAAAAAAATTAAAATTTGAGAAACTTCAACTTAAATTTTATATTTATGTAGATAATTAATATTGATTGTTGCAGAGAAATTTCAAGCACTCGATAACGGATATTTGGACAATTACAAGAAATATAAACAAAAGACACCCATAATGTATGATTTAAAAAAAGTTACTGCACCCTTAGCTTTATATTATTCCGTCAATGATTTGCTTGCTTCAAAATCGGTAAGGTCACTTTTAATTTTTATGTAAGACATTTCTGAGCGTAGCCAAAGGGAATATTTTTGATAAAAAATTATACATTTGAAGTTCAAACGTTTGCCATTTTGTAAAAATTGTGTATGTGTGAAATTGATTACTTAAACCACATATTTTTTTTTATATACGGAATATTACTTTTTTCCCTTACTTCCATTTCTCCTGCTCCTTCTTTTTGCTCTTTTTCTCTTTTACTTCTCTTATATACTCCTCTCTCGTTCTTTGAACCAATATATTTATTTATATATATCTATCAAACTAGTATTTAATAAATAATTGTGTGTTTATATACATTTTTAAAATTATTATTAGCTATTATTAATTTAATATTATTTGTTATGGCCACGATACTGATTTAATTTTATCGTTTTTCATATTTTTGTTCTTAGAATGTCCTTGAAATATATAAATATCTGCCGAATGTTATCCTGCTGGAGGAAAATCCGTATAAATTATTCAACCATTTGGATTTTTTATGGGCCATCGATGCTAAAACTCTATTATATGACCGTTTAATGAAACTACTTCAAGAGTTTGACGATCAAGAACTAACAATTGATGATGAATTCGTCTATGTCTAATGTTTTCTAATTGTAAGAAAGTATTTTTACTCATTCATAAGAATGAGCAGCTGACGAAAAAGTCTTTCTCTAAGACTAGCAATACGATTAATTAAGACATATATATATTTGAGCAAAGATAATATTAAATAAATATTGTATTATATTTTTTATTTCTTGTGCTTCTGATATTTGATATATCAATAATTATTAGTAAAATTACTATTGTTATTAATAAATCTTTTTATATTAAAAATGCATATCGTATCTTTATTTGTAATATAACTATTTATGAATATTTTTAAATATTGATATACAATGAATATTTGTAAATTATTTTGTTGTTAAATTTTATATACTTATTGTAATAAATAAACATTTTTATGTTTCAATTCTTACTTATGTGTTACTGCTGATTAATTATTTAGACCGACAAAAATTGTTATTATTAAATAACTCTAATCAGAGTAATGTTTCACATAAATTTTTTATTACGAAAAACAATGTCGTATTGTCTCATCGTGTCAGGTTTTTAAAGTTATTTTGAATTTTAAGACGATAAAAAAAATCAGCGATTTATAGAAAGAAGTTTTGTAGACGTTGCTAAAGAAGCGAATACATTATCGATCATTTAGAGCGTTGTTTCTAAATGCATCTACTTAGTTAGCTCCGAAGGTCAGGTCCAACTTGTCATGAGGGTGATTGTGTGTGTTTTCAATTCGTTCTTTTTTGCTTTAACCTCATCTTCATGTTCGGACAAATGGCGCATAATACCACATATGTACATCCGATATTGCCCACTAAGTCTAAGTGGAAATACTACTCAAGTAGAACACAGAAATCATAATAATATCATAAGGATATCATCATAACGTTATTTACCACTTATTATTTCTGTGACAAATGACGTTATGATAACTTATATCATTATGACTTAACTATGATTCTGTGTCCTACTTGAGAGTATATCGAGACGGACTTGAAAGAATACGTTCTAATCTGGATAATAAAGACAGATCTTAAATGACCATTATTGAACGATAACTATTTTAAAATAGACTTACTTTGTACTTATACTTCTTTCGATCATACTTTTCGATTTATTCTCCCATCATTTCTGCGGTGCCATTTTCGTCGTTTCTCGCCCTTTCCTTTAATTTACTTAATAAAAAATTATTAAATCATTTTTGTGGGTTTTTTTAATAAGGGAATTTTTCATAACGCAACCACTAACTTGTTTAATTATTTGTCATAAACTAATTATTTATTGATTGAACTTTATTTTTACCATCCTCTATTTTGCCATTCACCAAGTTGCTCTCACACTTTGCTGCGTATTTAGAGCAGATCTTATATAGCATAGATCTATAGTCTAGAGATATCATATCTAAATCACAACAAAAGATTATACAATATAAAAACACTTTCTAAAAAAATAGAGTAACTGCGAGTAATACGCCAATTGAGGGAATATGCCACTCGTTTTGTTTCACAATGATACTGATTAGCAGCGCTTACGTTAGTGCTACAAAATTGTGTACATACAATTGTATGCTTAACATATTGCATAAATAGCAACAATTTCCTGGCAACAGTATTGTTTTTATAAGGTAAATATGATGGCATAGTATACGAAAACGTGTTTCTTATAACTTTCATAGTGTTTTATGTAAGTTATTATTTAAACGTTACACAACATTTAGCTCGAATAGCTTGTTAACTTATTAACTATTAATATGGGTTAAAATGAATATATTTAATATGTCCATTCATTTTCTTAACAATCATATTGTATAGGCTCATTAGAAAATAAAATGGCGTTTTGGGGTAATATGTCACTATTCTAAAAATGGCCCAAAATATGATTGGAAACTATCTAATTGTTGCAGTAGATGGATTCACGAGGACTGTTTGTCGAAAGGTACATGCTGTTAAAAACGTTGTGTCTCAAAGTTTATTTTACATAAAAAAATAAGATAATCAATAGGCTCATTTAAATAAATCCAAAAGAAATAATAAAATGCCAATGTGAACCGACACAAATTATTAGTGTGTATTTTTATATATAAAATTTATTCAAAATAAGCAATGAGATGTATACATTTCGACCCTCGTTTAGGTCCTCTTCAGTACAAAGAAAAATGATTAAATATTAAAGTTATATATGTAAAGGTAGCGCATACAAAACATATTAAATTATTTGAGTGTAAAGTACAAAATACCGTGGTGCAGGTAATGTCCGAATTCAAATCAAATTTTGTAATCATCAAATTGATAAGTTACCTATAATCTTATATTGTTTGTATTACCTATTTTTATCATAAAAAAATCATTAATAATGTGTTCTTGCAATGAAAAACAAAATAGATTGTAATTAACATTATTTTTTTCGTATGTATATTACTCTATACTTTCAGCACTTTCATATTTCTTTATTTTTAATAACAAAAATGAAAATATTTGATTCCAATCGTAAACAAATAATAGATAAAGGATGGAAGGAAAAGACCAGTATGTAAAGTTATTTTAAATTGAACAATTAATTATTAAAAATTTCCCTTAAGTGTGGCATATTCCCCCCATTAAAGCCCGTTCTACAATAAGTCGGTAGCCGTTATCGTATGTTGTGCCGTAAGAAATTGGCCAATCACAGTTGAAAACAATCGAATATATGTACTCTTAAAGAAGTATGACTAATAAGTCTAAAACTGTGTTTCTTAGAAAAAATTTCTAAGATTTCTTACGGCGAACAATACTTTAATCATTCCGCAGACTTCGATTGCAACCAACTTCTAAGACTTTGCGTGTTAATTTCCAACGAACCCAATCGCTGCAGTTATGTGCAAAGCGGTGTCACCATTCTAGGATGGACAGACAAATGATTTGCATTATAAAGTGAAATTAATTAAATATATATGCGACATATAACAACTAAATACAAAATTATTTTTTAACAATAATTCGAGCAAATTATTTAATAATTTAAACTATTTAAACTTGCCTAACCTTTCTCGATAAAAGGCGATTTGAATGTCAGTTCAGTATCGTGAAACACGCGGCCTTGAGGAGTCACCGATTATCGTTGTAAGACCGCAACGTTTCTATATATTTGTGTAAGCGCAGTACATTTGTTACTCACAGTTTCGATTTACCCGCCGTATGTGACAGTTAACGTTTTTAAACGTTAGTAAAATCAGTATTACATACAATTTAGAGATAAAATAATTTATCGCTGCCACCTTTCTAACTTTTAATTTATCAGTTTAAGTTATTTCTGTTAAATATATTGGTGAGTACATTAATATAAATATATATTTATGTAACAGAAACGTACAATTATATAAATGACATACAAAGCATTTCTTATTTCTAAAATTTTATTTTTAAATCATTAAATTGTTAGTCAATTTAACTCGTGATATTATTGCGGTAATTTAGTAGAGCTTGCGTTTCAAGTCTGAAAAAAGTTCGGCGCACAGTTAAAAATCTATATACATAGCATATAAATTCACACACAATTAAAGAAACACCCGAGATCCAGTTTGACCTTTACGGTTTGTTTCTCATATCATTATTTTTATTTTCATAATTGTACAATTTAACCGTTACGACTTGTTTTCAGGAGACGCGGTAGTGCCACGTTCAAAAACTGAAAAACACTATCTTATCCAGAGCCACCAAAGTCTATTTTTCGGGGTATCATTATTTTTAATTTCATAATTAATACAAATCGATTAAGTTATTGATAAATTTGATAATGTTGACAATAACTAAATTTAAAATTTAATATAAATTAAGAGAATTCACTACTTGAAAATCCATAGACTTTTGAAAACATGTATAAAATCTGTAAAGATAAAGTCGACAGCAATAATAGGACAAAAAAGCAGATAAATTGCTTTTACATTTAACTTCTATTATGTGTTTCGTAATGAACGTTATAAACTCAGAAAAATAAAAGATTAATACGTGGTCTCACACATAAATACTTATATTTTTCACTTTTTTTCAATTTATGTTTAATAATAATTATTTTCGAACGCGATTACAGAGCATTAAGTAGCGTTTACAATGAGATTTTAAAGCGTAAACTGAAGCCTTAAGCAGTAAGAAATTAACCAATCACAGTCAATGATTCTCCTTATGTTCGAATGTAATAGCTTAAGTTTTACGTGTAATCTCATCGTAGATATACATACTATAAGTTTTAAAAGTAAAAGCTTAAAAGTAAAAACGTATTACAACTTAAAATATCTATATCCTTATTTTGACGAATATTGATAGATCTTCCTAAACATTTATTTTTGAAAATCTAAATATTAAAAAAAAATGTAATAGAAATATTTTCTTAGTTTTAGACATTAAAATACTCTCTTAAATCGTGATTGATTTAAAGAATTCTTCTGCTTGTTTTATTTAAAAAAAAAATAGATTGAGATCCGCATTCTAATTCAAATTATATTTGTCGATATTAATCACCAATCTTAAATTTATTAAGTGATTTAGAAACCGTGCATAATTATATACTATACGACGGTTATTTGTAGTGTCCAGTACTAGCAATTTTCACATATAGAATCTGAGTGGCCACTCTTCACACTTCTTGCCCTCTCCATTCAATATTTGATCCATTTACATTCACGCAAATTCCAGTTCTGTAGTATTAAAATTTGCGAACTACGCATAATTAAATAACGATTACAAAATACAGATTAGAAATCCAGCTAGCTATAAAACTTGCACTTTTTATTTGAAAATAGGTTGTTTGAAATGATCCTGGTATATGATTTGTTTAATAAGTAAATATGCATCTATATATATATATATATATATGTATATATATATAAATATTTTATAATAGAATACATTGAGATACTGCTTGAAACTTTTATTAGCGTAATTTAATAACAAACAATCAAATTTTTATATTTACTTTTATAAAGCAATTGTTTATTCTTTTTAAAATAAGCTTTAATTAAAAAAAAAATGACAACTTATGTATCTTTTAAAATTTCTAAACATTTTTTTAATTTAAAATTTAACTTTAAAATTGATTTTTTTAAAACAGATGTTATGAAATCTAACAAAATTATAATTCAATTACTAGATGTTTGATGTCAAAAATTAAAAATTTAATCGATTTTATAAAATTCTTCATGTTAGAAAAAAATCAACACCACATAATTAGTGAATAAACTAATATCAATTATATTTGTAGGTTTCTTGAACTGCAAATGATGACAGATACCATACAACCAGATAAAATATATTTGATATAATAGTCGGCACTTGCAAGTTGTAGTTAACATTTTCAACTGTCGACATTTTAATGAGAATGAATATAAAACTTGTTTTCTTCATATTTATGCTTACTGCAGCGTTACTGGAAGCAAAACTAAACCTCTGGACAAACTTAACACACTCTCAGAAAGTAATACTCAATTATCTGTTTCCTAAGGATCCCGATATAGTAAGAGTAAGAAAGCCAGAAGAAATCCAAACAGTAAACAATGTAACTACATTGGATTTTGTGAGTACGAGATTGTCTTTTAATATTTTAAATTCTGCTTCATTAAAAAAACATTCGAAAAAATAATAATGCAATTATATATATATTAAAAAAAAAGATTAATTATTTAGATAAAAGAAATCTTTTTCTAAAAGAAATATTTTGCTACAATTAACGATTGCATAATGATTGTTCAGTTAACGACAATTTTGCTTTTATTTTGCTCTGGGATATATGCAGGTCGGATTGGTAGAAAGATATGGTTACCCTACCGAAGAGCATTACGTCACAACGGAAGATGGTTACATCTTGGTAATACATAGAATATTAGGAAGTCCATTGTCTACAGGTCATCAAAGAAAAAAAATTGTGTTTCTTCAACATGGTATTATATGTTCATCTGATTGTTGGGTGATGATCGGTGCTGAGAAAGACCTTGGTGAGTAACCATCGTGATGTGTATATGCGTTGGTCATTATCTGATATGTTAATTAAATTTCGAATAATTTTATCATTCACAACAACATATAACTTCTCACTTTTCACTTTCTATTCATTTTAAGTTTGTGTGAAATCTTTTACGGCATAATTTAAGTCATTCATTGTTAATCAGGATTTTAAATCATTAACAGTAAGAAACTTTCAAATATATGAATGAAACACAGGAACTCTTTCTGTACAATATATATTTTTGTAAATTTTATATTTTTTGATCTATCTGATCGTGTTATGTTTAATATTTTATATATTTTATTTTTATATTCCTGCTTTATTTATATAGTATAAGGTTTATCTTTATTTTTAAATTAAATGATATTGCTTTTGGCTTGTAACCCTTCTAATTTATTTTGAATTTTAAGTAATTCTGTTACTAGAAACATATACAATGAGTGAAATAATAGAATATATACATTACATGGATAGATAAAGTAATTGAAAGAACAATAAATATTGCTGTAACGGTATGAATCGTGAAATATTCAATATCTAAAATTAGTGCTCTGAACACAATGTGTTAATTGCATATACACTCATATATACGTGCGCGCGTGTAGATATGTTTATCCAGTTTACGCTAAAATTGAAGATTACACTCAACATGTTTACCTTGACATTACTTGTCTTCAAGAACTTATAATGGGGACAATGAAATAACTCACGTAGTGAAAGTCTTGGCGAATATTTGTTACGTGAAATATAGATCAAGTAATAAACTGAGAAAAACAAAATAATAAACACTTAAGTTTAAAAAAAATAAAATGTTTAACAGAAGCAAGTAAATAGATTAACTTTATTAGAGGAATCGTATTATAAATTACTTATAAAAAACCAAAATTTGTTAAAAATTCAGGAAATTAATACATAATACTTTATTATCCTAAACATCTTTGTAATCTTATCCTGAAACAAAATCATCAATTTAGTAATTGTTTAAGTAATTATCAAACTATTTTCTTCAAATATAAAATGAATCAATTCATATGACATTAAACAATATATTAAAATATGGTATTAAATGATGTATTATTTAAAACTTCATAAAAATATATTTATTACATTAACAAAAGATGTTTTTATTAAATCAATCTTTTATTTTACTTTTTTAATCAAATTAAAAATTTTTCAATGCTTTAAAGATTTTTTTAACAACAAAACATTTAAATAACAAAACAACTTATACTTAAAAAAACAGACAATACACTCCAGAATATACAAACAATCTCAATTAAACTATTATCAGAATAAATATGTCTTGATATGGAGGGAAATAATTATATTTTTATCTAATGACTACTAACTTGATAATATGTGTATGTAACAGGAAAACTAATTGTATATTTTTATATTGTATCGTAGCATTTTTATTGGCTGATGGAGGATATGATGTATGGCTTGGAAATTTAAGGGGAACTTCTTATTGCAGATCACATATAAAAATATCTCCAAGAAGTAAGGAGTTTTGGCAATTTAGGTAAAATTTTAAGAAAATTTTCTACAAGTATTGCCCAAAGAAATATTTCAACTCTCTTTTCGATATTTCATTATTTTAATTACTTGCATACATTTTTCTTTTGTTTCTTAAATTTTATTTAATTTAGCACATTTCACCTAGAACGTCAAATTTAAAAAATCAATTTTTCTTTAATAAAATATATGAAAATCCATAATGTTTATAGGTGTATATATATATAGTGTAAATAAAGTTATAGTGAGGTTTTAAAGTGCTATAATTAAGTAAAAAAAAAGTTAAAAACATCAAAATGTAATAGTAATCCAAAGGCTTTAAAAGTAAAATTGTTAATTGCATCCCTGGATTTCTTTAATATTATATGTAAATATACAAGAAATTAATTTGTAAATCAATGTTATCATTTTACAAATATTTAGTCTATTTATACAAATTAAAATTTATTTAAAAAATAAATAATTATTTGTAACATTTACAATAAAAACTTTATAAAAAAATATTGAGTATATAACAATATTATCATTAATTTAAAAAAATGGAAATGTCAATGTTAAGAATAAAGTTCTATATTGGTAGAAATAGGTATATGCCTATAACACAACGCGTGGCCTCGAATAGCTGCACGCTATCGAGTAACATGGTCCCGCTTTCATTACATGATAAAAAGTAGTTAACATACTTTACTCTTTAATTATTGGCAAGTTTCGTGTTTCTAATTAGTTTCCTTAAAAAAAAAGTTATAATATTTAAAAATATAATTATAACTTTATGGATACACTATACATATATTTTAACATTCTCGTTAAAAAAAAAATCGATCGATGATTGAGTTATAAAAAGTTTGTAACGAATATTCGACGGTTTTACAGCATTAAAAAAGTAATAAAATAAGAAATAGAATTAACTTCTTATTATCTAGTTATCACGAGATGGGAATAAGAGATCTGCCAGCTATGATTGATTATATACTTAGTTATACAAAACAACAATCTCTGCACTACATCGGTCACTCAATGGGAACTACTACATTATTCATTTTACTATCCATGAGACCTGAATACAATGCAAAAATAAAATTGGGAATCTGCCTTGCACCGATCGCTATTTGGAAAGAAAGAATTCCTTTACCGGAATTAATTTTTAACAATTTATCAAAGATTAAGGTAAGGATCAGACATCAATCGTACTTAAAAAAAAATAAAAATATATTGTTGTTTTACATATATTGCTGTATTAATAATTATCTTAATAGAGAAATAATTTTTTTATCGCAATATTATTTTACTTATTATATTAATACAGTGATAATTAATGAAATTATGTTATTAAGTAAATAATTAATTAAAATGTTTTTTGAATAAAATTATGTGTTTTACTTTAAAATTGTGTCTAGGGTATAAGTAGTCCAATAATGAACCATGTAAATTTTAGAAGCTCGTATTTCTCTCAATTATTGAGTTGAAGGTTTAGGTTTTTGCATACAGTTTATGAGTTTAGTAGACTATACACTGTAAATAGTAACTCTCTTAAATTATTTCTTAAGTTCAGTTACAATTTCGATTATTTTAAAAAACGAGAAGTGGTTTCTTGTGTACAAGGGGTGTGTACACAAAGGTTATGGGGTAAACCTTTTTCACGATAATCTTCAAAATAATGCGGTAAAATGATACAACAGAAAAAAAGTTGCTTACAAAATATTAAAGCTAAATGTGTACATAAAACTATTGCACAAAGAAAAAAATAATAAGTATAACAATAAAAATATTAAAAAATGCATAAAACTTACAAAAAAAATTTACTTCACAACCTAAAATTCCTTAAACGTGATACCATATGGCCATCCTAGGCGCGATTTGCCGGCTGACTAAGGAGCCGAGAAGTGATTCAAATGCGAGTCGCTGCATAATAACAATGCAATTTGGTAACGTCGCATTTACGAAATATCACAATGATTCATAGTATACTACTGGTTCATTGTTGGACCACCTACTCTACATGTTTGGTACTCTTTATAAAATTCAAAAATTTAAAAATTTATAATATTTTGAATATGTGTAGAATAATATATTCTGATAATCTATTACTAAAATTATATTAAATTTGTAACTATAATAATAAGTGATCATTTATCTAAACAAGACAAGCGAAGAGGCGATCAGGCATGAGTGCTATTTGAATTTACACTTACAAGAATATTAATTTCATTAGATTTTTGAAATACATAAAGAAATTGATTTTTTCAATAAATAGGATAAACAAAACTAAATACTGTTTTAACACTTACATTTTTGACATTCCATACACTGAATTATTTTCTTGCTTTTTTTCTTTTTTTAATAAATATATACTAAAGTATTATTTTTGTTCTTAGATAGAATTTATTGAGATTTATTTATAAAAATGTGTACAAAATCTTAGTACAAAATAGTAAACGTATAAATAAATTTTAAAATATCACTATGAATGGTAAAAACAAAAAATAATACTAAATAATTAAATGAATAAAATAAAAAATATTTTAAAAATAATAGTGATTTAAAATACTACTTTTTATGTGGTTTTTCAGCACAAACGCACTATACAAATAACCGTTCAACTTAACGTCTCGCGCATAACTGAAGTAAAGTGAAATCAACCACATATAAGATCAACATGCAAGAACATGTTTCAATTCGTTTATTTGTTTTAGTTATACTTATATAAAGTATCCATTCGTTCCGTGTTACTTTCATCCCTAGTCTCAAGTACACAGCTTATGTATTTTAATTATTACATATTGGCTTATTAAAATATATATTATTTTATTATACCACACACACACATTTTATAGAATCTAATACGTAATTATTTTAATATTATATTTGTTTTTTTTTACACTACATTATATCCTATATAATTTCAATTACAATTCTATGTTTACATATATCATTTTTGTTTAGGAATTTCTTTATTCTAATGAAATATATGAAGTAGCCTCCTTATCATCAACGAGTATTACGGTGGGAAGAACATTGTGTTCAAATAAGGCAATTACTCAGGCTGTCTGTATTGCAATAATATTTCTAATTGCCGGATCTGATCCAAAGCAATTAAACATTGTAGGTACATCTCCAACTTAGCACGATTTTGCAGCACTGTTCTTTTTTAAACAAAAAATTATAAAATAAAGATTCTATATTTTTATGTACAATAAATCAAAATTGTTTTTAATAAAATCTTTCGTTGCAGACGAAATTGCCAGAAATATTATCGAATTATCCGGACGGCGCTTCCGTGCAAACATTCGAACATTATATTCAAAATATCATAACAAGTGAGTATTACTCTTCCTCTCTCTCTCTATGTGTATATAAAAAAGAAAACTATTATATTAATTATAAAAAAAAGAAAAGTGCGTCAACATACCTGAAATAAATGTTGTTTAATAACTCGAAAAGTGCTTAATGACAAAATATTTTATTATAGTGTTTTGGGAAGCTCTCGAGGTAATCTACAAGAAAATAAAATAAAAAATTAAATGTTTCTTTTAAAAAATTAAAAATGACCTTCATACAATTATTAAAGGTCAAATTAATGGCACTGTCTTATGTCCCCCTCGAAACTGTATAACTTTTGTCTGAAACATTTTTTCATATCTTCCACATTTTTCGAGATATTTGCCTGGGGCGATTAAAATGAAACACACTGTATTATGCTTTGCGATTATATATTACGATTTTATCTCTTAATTACAATTTCATATTTATGTAGAAAATTAATATTAATTGTTGCAGAGAAATTTCAAACTTACGATTATGGATATGTTGGCAATTACAATAAATATGGACAGGTACTACCTCTAATATATGATCTTAAAAAAGTCACTATCCCCTTGGCTATATTCTACGGTGCTAACGATATGGTTGCTTTAAAACCGGTAAGATCACTTTTAAATTTTATATAAGAATTGAAAATATTTTTTGTAAATAATTTAGATTACTTTGAGTTTCTAAAAGATTATAAACCGCATAATTTTTTTTTATATATTACAATGTCCGATAAAATTTGACTTTTTTTCTTTGGCATGTGAACTGTTATTTTTCGAAGATTTTTGGCTACTGGATTTGAATACATGTTTAGAAAAATTCTATCACATCACGTTTTCGAAAAATTGGGATCAACGAAAACAACGATTTTGGCTATATTGAATGGTATTGCGGTTAAAGAAATTTTATTTTGCTAATTTTGACTACACTATCTTAAATCTTCAAAATAAGTTTTTTTTATTTATATACGATTTTTTATAATCTAGTAGGTTTAAAGGTTACTGTTTGACCATAACTCAAAGTCAAGATAACGTACTAATATTACAGATAATTTCCATATTTTGTTCCCAGAATGTCCTCGAGACATATAAGTACCTGCCGAATGTTATTCTGTTGGAGGAAAATCATTATAAATTGTTTAATCATTTGGACTTTTTATGGGCTATTGATGCTAAAACTCTACTATACGATCGTGTACTAGACTTACTTCAAAAGTTTGATAATCAGGTGTGGATAATCGATGATGAATTAACCTATGTCTAATACTTTCTTGTTAAAAATATTTATTTATTTTTAGATTATATAAGATACTCATTTTGAAAGAAAAATTAGTATAAAATTACTGGCCAGAAAAGTGCAAATTATTTTTTATATAATATTAATGCAATAATACTTTTATGTACGCTATTCGTGCCGAAAGAGTTTGTTTCTAACGCTAGTATATGTGTCATTTAAGATTTGTATTTAATTATAATAGTATAAATTATTAAGAGATGTATTTAATTAGTATAAATATGTCATTTAAGAGATGTATTTAATTAAAAAATAATATTAAACAAATATAATATTTTTTAATGCTTTGTATAAAATTTTGCCGATTTTATAGAAAGTGGGTGATCCTTTTTATCCTTCTTTCCTTATTCGATATTCGAGTAATTTACTTTTTTTCGTGTGACTTTTGTCCTGCGTATTGAAATTTGTTTCAGTTAGTTGTGTTAATTAGAACTTATATAAAATAAGCCATTAAAATTGAGGGTACTTCTTTTGTCTACAAATTGATTTACAGCACCATTTGCCTACATCTTATTTGCCTACAGATTGAAACTGAACTTAAACTTTATATTTGTGCATAAAAGTACTTATAGGCTATCGGGCTGTAGGCAATAATATATGTAGGTAATTAATCTATAGGCAATCGATTTGTAGACAAACGAGATTCTTCCTAAAAATTATGAATATCTATATTAAAAAGATTTGAGATTTAGATAAACTTTTTATATAATTTATAAAAAAATAAATATAATAAACATTTTATGTCAAAATATATCAAGATATTACTTAAGCTCTGAGATCCAGCTCACACACCGATAAGACTTTTGTTACTCACGTACGATCGACAATTTATTCGTATATATCGAGAGATGTTAGTTAAAAATTTTATTAGTGTAATTCAATAATAAACAGTCAAATTTTTACTCCTTTTACTAGACATTGTAATCAAACAGATCACAAAACTTAAATTATTACTTATTATATTACTTCAGCCAAAATAATGTTTTTTGTTAATAATATTTTTACATATTTAAAATGTTATAACATCAAATCATGATCAATTTCTAGATTATTGTTATTTCAGTTGGTTATGTTGCAAATCTAAAAGTAATCGCGCTAAAAATCAAGTATTTATAATCAGTCCTTATATTTAAAACTATCTGAACCCTTCATGATCACTGTGGGTCACAATAATCTGAGCATATATTAGATTAAAACACAAAAACTTGAAAATCTTATAAATATTTAAAAGTTATAATTTTTTAAGCAAAAAACAACTCATTTTCCGAAGTTAACACGTTTACGTTTTTTTTTTAAATTAAAAGTTAAATTTTTTACTACAACGACCTTGATCCATTTTCTTAAATGATGAAATTATATACTACAATTTTTTTCAGTCAATGAAACTAATACTATTAATTTGGTAACATTTCAAAAAATAGTTCGAATCATTTTAACCCAAGGTAATCACAGTGTAATTTTTTTGAAGTGCGATCATAAAGGGTTAATACATGCAGTCTACATGCAATCATAAACCAATGATCCTAAGCTATATCACTATTTTAAGATATAACTTAAAATATTCTTAAATATAACAATGGACTTTAACACGAGCTACAGTTCGTTTTCAGATTTTTTTATATGCAAACGAAGATGTCATAAATTTTAATGATTTAAATAAAAAAACTCTACACGTTGAGCAAACATGTTCATAGTACGATTAGTTGCATATACTCGTATGTAGCTATATCAGTACGACAATCCATACGATCAATCAACGAGAGCGAGAGAGAGAGAGAGAGAGAGAGAGAGAGAGAGAGAGAGAGAGAGAGAAATTTAAGCAAAAATAAAAATAAAAAATTTTTTTAAAAGAATTTACTTTAAGCAAAAAAGAACAGTTGTACACTTGTAAGGTCTCTAATGTAATTGGTTCTTATCTTCTGTTGCTATTTCTCAACTGTATTCAAATGTTTTAACCAATTATATTAAAGAATTTAACAACATAAGTTACGAAACCTGTTTTTTTTTTGCTTGAAGCGAATTGTACAAAAAATCATTTACAAAAGAATATTTTATCAGTGTGTTACTAGTGTTATTACGCTGCGTTCTTCATTAAAACTCGTTATATAACAAAATTATTCACGCATTCTCGTATATAGCTTTAATCCTATTTGCATAATCCTTACTCGCTACACGGTATTAAGTGTATTAATCACAGTTATATCATATAACTGTTGATGGTTACAAGTTATATAGTGATGTCGTTATCCTTAATATAAATATCGCAATGAGAATCAATATGAAACTTGTTTCATTTATATTTCTGCTTGCTGTTGTGCTGCTGAAAGTAAAGCTACATCTCTGGGAAGACCTATCAGTCTTTCGAAAACTAATATTAAACTATCTATTTCCTAAGGAGCCCAATATAGTGAGAGTAAGGAAGTTAGAAGTCAAAACACTGTTGCAGAACAATATAACTATATTGGATTTTGTAAGTACAATTGGCTTCTATCAATATTTTCTCGAATTAAAGGCAAAATAATAACGCAAACAGTTAGAAGATAAATTCGATTAAAGATAATAAAATTTCAAAACAACATACACACGTGGCTTAAAATTATAAACAGTAAATAAATAAGTATGTAGTCATAGGCTGATATTTCATGTGTCGTACGACAAGGCTTTTCAAGCCTGTTTATTGGCTGTAAAACAGAGAGATTCTCGGATCTCTCTATCCTATAGCCAATCAACGTGCTTGAAAAGCCTTGTCGTACGACACATGAAATATCGGGCATACGCTGGGTTAATAGAGTTATTATAATATAATTTTATCTTATATTCATCATTATACATTATTAGTTGACCTAATTTTTATTTACTCAACGACTCCCGCGCTCGACTCTTATATGTGCCTATTTATATTTATATTATATATATCCTGCTTGACCGGCTTGGCCGGTATATGTTACATTATCATATTTACTTGTTTTTTAAATCGACGGTCCAACACAAATCGTAATTTTAGAAAAACGTTGCCTGCAAAATACATTCAAATATTATTTAAACGGAGAGCATTGTGAAGAATATCACTACGTCGACCAGCCAACAGAGGTCTATAGTTACTCGTGCCAATTCTCGCAAGTACCGAGATACATATGAGTATCTGTTTATATAGAACTTCTTTCTAATATCTCCCCCAGTTGTCTAAGGTAGGCTACATTATCTTATTGATGAGTCTAGTAGTGGGAAGCCGGGACGAAACGCCAACTTGTGATATTCTTCGCAACTTTATTTTTCACAGATTTCGATTTAGCATTAATTTAACATTACATCGTTAAATTTAATATGTCTTTCAACATATTATTAAGATCCAATAAGATGATATAAGCATCAAAAATTGTTAGATTGCTTGTGTCAATCTAACTAAAGTGATATTACTACGGTAGTTGATTAGAGTTGCGTTGTAAGTCTGAAAAAATTTCGGCACGCAAATAATCTCACTACATACGTGGTAAATAAAATTCAAACATTATATTAGCAACCAAAATCCTGCTTGACCGTCATCTACCGATTACATTATCATATTTACTTGTTTTTCAAATCGACGGTCCAACACACAAATCGTAATATATTTATATTGTTATTTAATTTCAGGAATCGGTTGTGAAGATTACTATTAAAATTATTATTAAGATTTTATTACGAAAGCCTCTTCTTTATATTCTTATATATACGTTATATTCTTCTTATATATACTTATGTTTATACAGGTCGGTTTGGTAGAGTCATATGGTTACCTTGCTGAAGAGCATTACATCACAACAGAAGATGGTTATAATTTGGTGATACACAGAATATTAGGAAATCCGAGATCTAAAGATCGAAAAAGAACAAAAGTTGTATTCCTTCAAGCTGGTCTATTTTGCTCATCTGATATTTGGGTGGTGATCGGTGATGGCAAAAGCCTTGGTAAGTGAAAGTCAATATATGAAACAATAAAAATCCCACATAGCATATAATATTACAGTTATATTGCAGTATAATATTGTAATATATCAGAAATATTACAATATAACATATTGCAATATAATATATTGCAATATTATAATATCACCGAGATATTAGTGTGTAACCAGAAGAGTTATAATTACTACAAATTAATTCGATAACGTTTAATAAATAAAGAAGTTGATTATGTATCATCATTTTCTGTTCTAGCATTTTTATTGGCTGATGAAGGATATGATGTATGGCTTGGAAATTATAGGGGAAATACTTATTGCAGATCACATGTAAAATTATCTCCACAAAATAAGGACTTTTGGCAATTTAGGTAACACTCATAAAATTTTATTTTTATAAGTATTATTTTAAAGAAATATTCTATTCTTGTTAATTTCGACTTGTTGAAATTATTTTAATTAACTTTAAAATTTTTTTTACTTATATACATGTATCTTAGTTTTTTATTTCTTTATACTTTATTTAATTAAAGCTAAAGGTATTTTTTTTTAAGAATTTTATTTAATTTAATATTAAAGATTTTATTTAATTTAATATTAAAGATTTTATTTAATTTAATCTTAAAGATATATCTCTTACATATATATTTTTTAATTAAAATCGATTTTTTCATTAAAAAAATGTCTTAGTAAAGACTTATATACAGATATATATTATATATGATTCAATATTTTCACTAAAAAAAATAATCACTATTGAATTGAAAGATTTGTAATAAATATTTGGTGGTTTAGCAGCATTAAAAGAAAAACAAAAAATAAATTTTAAACCTTATAATAACAAAATTAATCAAGACTCCTTGTAATTCAAAAATAAATTTTATTTTTACTGTCTAGTTATCATGAGATAGGAACAAGAGATCTGCCAGCTATGATTGATTATGTACTTAATTACACAAACCAAACAACTCTATATTACATCGGCCTCTCAATGGGGACTACTGAATTATTCGTCTTATTATCCATAAGACCCGAATACAATGCAAAAATAAAATTAGGGATTTGCCTTGCTCCAATCGCTATTTGGAAAGAAATGTCTCTTCTATTAAAATATCTTCTCTACTGGAATAATATAATACTATACTTAAAGGTAAAAGAATATTAAAGTTGCGTATTTTAAGAAAAATAAAAACATATTTTACATATAAGTTTCTTATTATCCTAATAAAAAAATAAAATTTTATTAGTAAGATAATTTTATTACTATATATATATATATATATATATATTCATTACTAATATAATAGTAATTAATGAAATTATTTACGAACTAATAAGTAAATAACTGATTGAGTATATAAAACGAGTATATAAAACTTTTACAATATTATGTACTTTATTTAAAACATTTTTCTTTATATTTAGTTTTCTTTATAAAACATTTATTACAAATATCATACTAAATTTTTTATAATTAAAAAGAGTTTCAATTTAGAAATGTTTCAAATTATTCATTTTTACTATATTCCTATTTAATGTATGCGGGCAAAGTCCGCATAAAAGGCAGTGTTGATATTGCTCGAATTGTCTGCTGTACAATGTCAGTATTATCCGAGCCGTGATAACATTGCCCAATTGAATTGCGTTGGTGCAATGTCAACACCACTAGACCAGGCAAAGTCGATGCTCACTTGTGGACTTTGCCTGTAATATTTTTCATATATTTATACTTATATTAATTTATTAGGAATTTCTTGAGTCTAATGAAGTATATGAAATAGGCTCTTTATCATCAATGACTATTACGATAGGAAGGACACTGTGTGCAGATAAGGCAATTACTCAGGTTGTCTGTACTGGAATAATATATCTAATCGGCGGATTCAATCCAGCGCAACTTAACACTGTACATCTCCAATTTATAACTATTTTATTAACTGTCACAGCTTTTTTTAAAGACTAAAAAAATCTTAAAAATAAAATTTTTATATTTTGATGTAAACATCAAAATTATTTTTGATAAAAATCATTTATTGCAGACGATATTACCGGAAATATTATCGGTTTTTCCTGCTGGCTCTTCAGTGCAGTCAATACTCCATCTTTACCAAAATATAATTACAAGTAAGTTCTTTTTTCTCTTGAGAAATATAAAAAAATTAAGAAATATAATAAATAAAATAAGAAATAAAAGCATATCTAAAATGTTGCTCTCAATATTATCAGCTTTTATGTTTTCTTTTTGTCTTATTAGATTTTCATTAATATATACAGATTGCAAGTAATTCTTATGAGGATAATAGCTTAATATATTATATATTTACTTAAATAAAAATAAAAATTTGTAAATATCTTTGATGATTTTAATTCTCTTTATGAAAATAATAATGAATATTGATTGTTGCAGAGAAATTTCAAGCATATGATTATGGATATTTCGATAATTACAAGCAATATGGACAAATAATCCCTATAATGTATAATCTTACCAAAGTTACTGCGCCTTTGGCTATATACTATAGCACTAACGATTTGCTTACTCCAAAAGCGGTAAGGTCACTTTTGACTTTTATATAAAAACATCTTTTATAATTAAAAAATATATATTGCAGAAAGAATAAAATTTTTTTAATTATCTTTATACACAGTATAAAAAGTGCCTTTTTTAGAATAAATTTTTACACCTTTCAAATTATTATTACTAATTTAATGGTAATTTATATCATATGTTTCTAGAATATTCTCGAAATACGTAAGCATCTACCAAATGTCATTCTGCTAGAGGAAAACATATTATTTAACCACTTCGATTATTTAATAGCCATTGATGTTAAAATTGTGGTATATGATCATGTAATGGAATTACTTAAGAAATTTAATAATGAGATGTAGACAATCAATGATGAATTAATTTATATCTACTATTTTTGCGTTTATTTATATTCGTATGATGTAAACAAGATACCTACCTTGATAGAAAAATTACTATTAAATTGTTGGGTCTAGAAAGTGTAAATTATCTTTTTTTTTAAATAAATATTGTACAATAACGAAAGTATAATATTTTTTAATAATATTTTTGTTCATCATGATAGTGCTATTTCTGACAAAATAAGTATCTCTGTAATACATTTTGGTATCAAATTTCGTATACTATTTGATGTGTATTTGCTTGCTTAAGACATAATTTATTAACCAAATTTGACTAACACAATTTTGAAAATTTTTGTTGTAGCATTTTGTCAGTAATTGTTTTAGAAATCTTATTGCTACGCGAAAATATCAATCGTTATACATGATTATACATATTTTTTTCATTTATTCAGACTTGATTTTTGATAAAAAAATTAATGCATAAATTATCTTTTTAGTTATTTTAAATATTTTTTGTCCTTTGTCATTATTATTATAATTTTTCTCGTACTAAACAATAATTTTATTTAAAATAGATACATGAATATATATGAACATATTCCGTATATAATTGTATAATACACATTCGTACATGTTTATGTATGCATATTTATGTTCACGTACGTTCTTATATAAATTTTTTTTTACTGGAAACGTTCATACAAGTTGAGATGATGATCGATGCGATCGATAGATTTAGAGAGCATAGATAACAAAAAACTTAAATGAAACTAAGTAGCGCAGAATATAATGAGCAGAAAGAATAGCTTTGCATATAACTATTATAAGATTTTTTATTTTATAATTAGTTTTTTTTCTTAATTCGTCATTAGATCTAAATCTATAAACCAATCAGAAAGATTACTACATACATTGTTAACACTTGCGACAGTTCAAAATTGCTATTTATATTGGATGCCGGTCCTTAGATTATCATTTACATATAAATATCATACCAGTGTGTTACTTACTGCGCTCTTCGTTCTCTGTAAAATTTATTATACAATAAATATACATGTAAATTATTTGTGTCATTCTGTGTATAGCTTCAATTATTCGTATAATTTTTACCACCTACAAGATATTTTAAGTCATAGTTATATCACACAACACTCTCGAGAGTTACAAGTTACAGTGATTTTATAATTATAGTATCGAGTATCGATACTATAATGAGAATTGAAACAAAACTTATTTCATTCACGCTTCTGTTTAGTGTAATGTTGATGGAAGCAAAATTACAGATTGGGGAAGATTTTGCATCTTTCCGGAAGATGTTATTCCACTATCTGTTTCCTCAGGATTCTCATGTAGTGAGAGTAAGAAAGCTAGAAGAAATCCAAACAGTAAACAACGTAACTACATTAGATTTCGTAAGTAAAATTATCTTTTATTAATGTGTATTTTGTCTAATTAAAGGCACGCTGTCAACAAAATAATAGCGCAATTAGAAGATTAGTCCTATAAAGAAAAATAAGTTACGATAATATCAAAATGATGATTAAAATTGTGACTAAAAGTAAATTTTTTTTAAAAGTATTATTATAAAAATAGGTTTTAATTTTAAATAAAGTCAAATAAGAATGTGTGTGTAGTAAGTTAACTCCATACTTAAATATGTCGATTTGATTGTCATACGTTCCAGGATTAGTAATGAGTTATTACTAATGACATATTTTTCCAACAATAAAATCTTTTTAAATAAGAACATATATAAATATACATATGAAAGTATGTATAAACATATATAAAAATAAGTAATTATTTACAAAACATATATCTATATTTATATCCTTTATTATAAAATTATTATTTGGTACGAGAAAATAGTAAAAATAATGAAATATTGTACAAAAGAGACAGAATAATAGAAGAATAGACAGAATAATTTTCGTCCTGTTTCTTTTACAAAAGTTAAATTTTAGGAAATAAAAGAAATAACAAATCAGAACAATAGTTTGTCTCAACACTATGTGTAAATCACTAGAAATCAAGATGACGGAAAACGGTCCTCCGCATGCCTTTATCACCCTTCCTCTCCTAAAATAGAACTTTAGACTGTGTCCCTTTATTCCTAAGTTTGTAATTCGCAAACATTGATATAAATTGATGATTTCTCTACCTTGTAAGTTTTTTAATTTCGAATATTTTTGGTAAAAATTTCTGTCGGATCTAGCTTGATCTAGTTAATGTATGATCTTTTATCATCCATCATTTCTAAAATTTTTTGTCTGTACTGTTATTTGCCTGCAGGACTACTATAATATTGCCTTTATTAGCTCTTGTAAACATGACGTCAGGATTATTACTTACCAAGTCATTAATCATATTATACTTTAAAAACAAATTCTATTTTATTTCTAGTCAATCCTATTAAAACGACAGTTGAATTCATTAAAGTATTAAAAATAATACAAAAAATTGCATATTGATCAACATTTAATTGTTAAATATCGTTCGATTCTAATAATCAACTACCTCCAGTCTTCCTTTCTTTACCTTTGAATACAATTGATTTTAAACTCACCAGTTGTTAAAAATGATTCGACTATATATATAACAATCTAACGCTATCTTTGCAAAAGCTGATAAAGGCAATGTTACATTAGTAGCCACGAACAAATAAAGGATATAAACAGAAAACTTGACATAAGGTCATTTTTAATAAGAGATATTACATTCATAAATATTAATTGTTATACTAGTGACTGCAAAAAGTTATCTAAAGCGTGACATTTTTTAAGATTACAAAGAAATCGCGACTAATAATACTATGAAGTAATAATTACAGCTAAAAAATTCTTGCGGATGCACGACTATTCGAAGTAATGACGACATTTGTGACCAATCAAAAATTGGTTTTAAATATTAATTATATTTAATCATTATATGCTTAATATTAGACCTGATATTCTTACATTATAGATTATGCTAAAAAATTCATTAGAAACAAAATTTTATTGGAAAATAAAAACATTTAATAACTTAATTATCTTTAAAATCGTTATATATAAGTAATATACACGATATCTTAACGTCATTATATAAAAGGTCATTATATAAAAAATTAATATCGTATCGGCTATATATACAGCAATAGAAAAAAGAAAAGAATATCATTGTGATACATATTTAACTTCGTATAACAACCGTTCAGTTTCTCCTATTCATTATAATAAATTGAAGAGAAAATGTAAGATGTCGATCAAAAACATAATGAATTAAAATATTAATTTCTACTGCAATAGAAACAATTTTTGTTTCGCCAATGCAGATTAATTTTATGAAAAATATATTTCTTTTAAATATATAAACTTTTACCATATATTATTTTATGTCAAAAATGTTACGTGTAAAATTTTACAATAAAATTATTATTAATATTATTAAGTCTTGAACTAATATTTTATACGTATGCCTATGCAGATCGGATTAGTAGAGAGATATGGCTACCCTGCCGAGGAGCATTACGTCACAACAGAAGATGGTTACAATTTGGTGATACATAGAATGTCAGGAAATCCTTTATCTATAAGTCAAAAGAAAAAAACCGTTGTGTTCTTTCTAGGTGGTCTCTTTTGTTCATCTGATATCTGGGTGTTAGTCGGTCCTAACAAAGACCTTGGTGAGTTACTATCAATTTATATAATGGTTTCTCTAAAAGATTTATTTTATTACATTTATAATAAAAATATATTATGTAGATAAGAAACACAATTTTATTCAAATCAATCTATCTTGTTTTATATTTTACGGCGTTATTAAACTTTTTCGAGAAATGTTTCGAGTGAAAAAACTTTTGTTAAAATGTTTTATAGTTATAATAAATCGAGAGAATAAAAAATATTTATCAGAATAAATAAAAAATACCTACGTAATAAATTATTATGAGGATAAATATATGACAAAGAATAAAATTATTACAGACTCATCAAAAGTTATTATAAATAAAAGAACTAATTATGAATTATCTTCTGTTTTAGCATTTTTATTAGCTGATGAAGGATATGATGTATGGCTTGGAAATTATAGGGGAAATACTTATTGCAGATCACATGTAAAGTTGTCTCCACAAAACAAGGAATTTTGGCAATTTAGGTAAAATCTTATTTTTTACAAGTATTATTTTTAAAAGAGATTTTTTGTTAATTTCAACTTTTTGTCGAAATTATTTTAATTAGTTTTATACATATTACTTATATATACATATATATGGGTCATTCCATGCCAAGTGGGCCACTCAAAACTTTTGGATTTTTGATTTGGCTGAAATTTTGATATATTATAGTACCTATCGCAAGAAGCTACCATAATTTTTTTCAAATTTTTTTATCAACATAGTCATGAGATATGAATTTTTTTCAAAATTCGCATTTTTCAAAATTCGCAATTTTCAAATGCCTATAACTTTGCGAAAAA